ATGATGGACCCACTTTCAGCCCCCCCCCCCCCCCCCATAAGTAAACTTAAGTGAACTTTATCCTATTTTCTATTTGGTGGCATAAATTGATTATACCATTTAATTCCATGTACAAAGGAAAAGCTTAGGTAGGACAGGTAGCTCTTGGTTATCCACATGCAGATTCTCTGATCTGTGAGATAACTTGAGTTTAATAACAACCCTCTTTTGTGCTTGGTATGATTCTGTGTCTTAGTTTTTCAAAGATACTACACATCTTCAAAAGCAATATTTTTTGTTTAAATCAATAGAGTATTCCTTTTCCAGTATACCCCCTTTTCTTATTTAATTTTGGACTGATACTACTAATTAACTCCTAGTGAGGAAATGCTGGCATATTACTAGATGGTAGCAAGTAGTATTTGCAACTTCCTTTGAAGGCTACTATTAGAAGTTAATAACAAATTGCATTAATAAATTATTTTTCTAATCCAGAACAGTCTTTTAAGTATACTCCTGTCTCACTGTGTGGAAAAAAACGACATCTGATTGTAGGACGAGCTTTTTTTCCTTTATGTTGTCAAGAACTTGCCCTAGCATTTTTGGTGCAAATGCCTGATACGTTATGGATTTTAATCCTAATAAGCTTTTTTCAAGGCTTCATTTTAGCTTGTTGGCTGTTGTCAGAGGTACATCTGGCAGAACATGGTGACAGGTGGGTCAGGAATTGTACTTAGTGTAATGAGAGCTCAGTGTTACTACAGCAACATGTTAAATGGATTGGAAGGCCAGCACTTAAAAAGCTTGTACAAATTTGAATGGAGGTTGACTTGTTTGTATCATGGCTTAAAACTAGTGTGTTCTTGTTGGGTGCCTCCTAGTTTCTGAATTTTTTAAGTCTTTCTTATAGCCCTAAACAAAAGGTAGCTTATACAAAGCTCTGTTCAAAATACTGTTTAAATGAAACGCATACAAGATGGTGTCCTCTCAGCTGTGAACAAAATGTTCCTGTTAAATGTTTTCTAGTTGTCCTTGTTTTATTTTTAAGCACTAATAATTAATTTTAGAGCATTGTCTTGCATCAAGATTATTTTGGAGCAAAATATATGTATCTTAATGTGTTAACATGTATGTTAGTGTATTGTAGATAAAATATTGGGCTCCTAATGTGTCTGCTCTGCTATAACACAGTAACTGAACATGAATGTTGCTGTCTCTAGGGTTAATGATTGTATTCTTCGAGTAAATGAGGTGGATGTTCGTGATGTGACACACAGCAAAGCAGTTGAAGCATTGAAAGAAGCAGGATCAATTGTACGATTGTATGTCAAAAGAAGAAAACCAGTCACAGAAAAAATAGTGGAAATCAAACTTGTAAAAGGCCCTAAAGGTAAGTAGGAAGGATGAAGCTCGGTTTCACAAGAAGGATAGAGTTGACAATAGATTTCTGCATTTATTTTTGGCAATACAGTAGTACCTTGCATATGAAGTTCTAGGAAATGCAGAATGATTAAATATATGATAATGGCATCTCAAATGCTTCTGAATTTTCATCCATGTGTCTTGAAACTGTTCGTGTAGAATATGTATTTTTCTTTCAAATAATAAAAACGTGTTTCTCATAGTATTTATTTAAGTACATTACAAATGAGAGTAAAATATTTCATTGAATTACCTAGAAAGGATCTTTGACAGATCAAAAAACATTTAGAGAAAGCATTATTTCATTTCTATATGGGTAAATGTTGGACAACGATTCTTTACATATCAGTGGTGATGCTATAGCTCTGCTGTGAGCATCTTTGACAAGACATGAACTAAATGATTTAGCTTTTGATTTTTCAGAACTTCTGTGAATGTTATGTCTTTCCCAGAACATTCTGGAAAATTATGGAGTTCACTTGGAAAGGCATCCAGTATTGCTTCAACTGGAGCCTGATGTTTTTATATATATGTATGTGTGATACAAATAGCATTATTATTTATATAGTACTTTGAATCTAATGAATGCGAAAAGATTTCTTGAGTAATGACTTTATCTTCAAGCAGGTCTTGGTTTCAGTATTGCTGGTGGTGTGGGAAATCAGCATATACCTGGAGACAACAGCATCTATGTAACCAAAATCATTGAAGGCGGGGCAGCACATAAAGATGGTAAACTTCAGATTGGAGACAAACTTTTAGCTGTGAGTAAGAGCTATATTCTTTAATGGTCACTCACTTTTAGGCCCAGTAAGGGCATGATTCACTTTGTGGTTAAAGCTGCCTGCTGGCGGAGTGTTATTTCATAGGTATTGGTAAAAAAATTGATATTGCCAGCAAATCAGTGATAAAAATTAAATCTGCGGTGTTCAACGCCATTTCATCAGGAAATCTGTTCCTCGGCCCAATGTTTCATGCAAAACCTGTATTAATCAGCATGTTTATTTCTGATACCTGCTATTATTTTTCTGGGATCCGAGTGATGGGATTGTAAACCAGGGTACAATGGGATTGTTTCTCTGCTGAAAAAAAGAATAGTAGAAAGGAACTTCATGTACTGGTAACTAGCCAGCCTGTAGAGAAACTGCTGCTTATGTTGGATTTCCGTGTTCGTAATGCTTTTGAATGGCTTTTCTTTTTAAGCTGAAATACTTCAAAGTTAAATTTTTAATGCACAAAGTAAAAATAACTTTCAACTTTCTTAAATTCTATCTCAAATCTAGTTGTCCGGCTAGAAAAACGAGAGCCAGAGCCAGGAGTTTCTGAATGAATTTCTGAATTTGTAAACTCAACTCTTGTGAGGTGTAATTGCTCCACCCTCCTACCTCTACCAGGCAGTACCTGCTTCTGTAAGAGCTCTGAGTACATCTGTACTCCATGTATATGAGAGCAGAATATCTGCTCTATTGCTCTTCGGTCAGGAAGAAACTGACTCTGAATGTTTAGTGCAGAGCTTGCCATCTGTAAAAAGACTTTTTGGATAAGCTTGTCACTTACAAATACAGAGCTTGGAAAACTGAAGCTAGTGAAAGATAAAGAATCCTGGGATTATCACTTTAGATAAAGAATGCTACTTTTTTAAGTACTAGGAAAGAGATCTTGGTGTTACAATGGATAGTTCTGTGAAATCAGTTCAAGACATGAGCAAATCTTTCCATGAGAATTGGGAGGAATAAAGAGAGAGAATATATTATGTTTACTATTAGCTGCACAATAAATACACACCTTCATATGTGATACAAATTCACAAACCCAAAGATCCAACTGCTTCATGATAATGCTGTTAATATTTGATGTTTTTAAGTTTTAAAATTGCATCATAGGAAGCATTTTGATTATAGGACTTCCCCACAGTGCAAGGGGACTGGAAAGCTTCCTTTTAATGGTGAACTGCTTTCTAGTGTTATAATTTGTCACCTGTACAAGAAAATTTAATGCTCACTTGCTTATATTGTAAAATTTATGGAAGATTTTAAGGAATTTTTGTTAGACATAGCAAACTTTTGCAGCAGATTGCTTTGTCCAGTATTACTTTATCCATTAAAAAAATTTGCCTGACAAAATTAAATGAAGTAGTTTCGGATTAATACCAGATACTGTTTTGGGGATGCAAGGAGCATATGCAGTATTTAATAGCTGAATTTCACTTAATCAAAGCTTTATTCACTAATGTAGAGATAAGCTCCTGTATTTTGCAGAATGTAACTTTCTCTCTGTATGTTTAGGTTGTACTGCAATTACCAATGCACTGAAAAATGACTTTTCAGTCATCAGGAGTGGTAGGAATGTACATCTGTTTTTTTAACAAACAAACAAAGAATCAGTAAGTGGCTTTTAGAAAATTGTCAGGAAACTTTTAGAAAATACAGATGGAAAGAATATATTTAAGATGTAGTTTTTCCCCCCACAAATAACAGTTGACGACCAGTTGGTTTATATAAAGTTAAGTAATCAGAGGAAAATGTCTTTAGTCCCTCAGGTTCAGTGCAGTACATACAAGCCTTATTTCCCATGTTACCTGGCATTATCTGCAGAAGTTACTTCCCTCTTCAAAATATAGGAGAGAGTCAGCAACTCAATTTACTAAGGCTTTATATGAGATACTAATTGTTAAAGGAATTTTTTTTTAAACTGAAGTGCTAGTGTTTCACCTTAATAGCAATAGTTTAAAAAAAAATCTGTTGCCTGTAAAGTTAGACTAGTTCTTGCTACTTGGCAAGTAAATCGGTCACTTTGGGATCTTCTCCAGTTTTGACTGCTACTGTTGACCTCTTGCAAGAATATGTTGTCCCATTATAATGTCTAGAACTTAATTATGTTATGACAAGATCATGCAGGATTTATTCTTACTAGAAGAAACTTTCTTCTATTTAACGCTTGCAATAATGTACTGTGTCGGTGCTGTGATTGTACGTGCTTATGGCATTTTTGAGTGTCATATTTATCCATTAGTTTTCCAAGTCATGTGTGTCTTCTTTACAATGTTACAGTCAATACAGTTTATTATAATCTTTTGAGGAAAGACATGTCTGTCTTTTATTTCACAGCACTACAAAGCATCTCTTATATAACTTTTATATAACCAGTTATGTCTGTGGCACATGAATCGTAATAAAGACTCTCAATTCCTGAATGCCTCAACAGCTTTCAGTGTGTTCTATGAAAATACATTTTTCTGTGTTGAGAATTTTTTTTTTGCTCTTTAGGTGAACAGTGTTTGCTTAGAAGAAGTTACTCATGAAGAAGCAGTGACTGCCTTAAAAAACACATCTGACTTTGTTTATCTGAAAGTTGCAAAACCCACCAGCATGTTCATGAATGACAGTTATGCCCCTCCTGACATCACAAACTGTAAGTTCAGCTTATCTTTGTGATTTAAGTATTTTTTTTCTTTTAAGGCTTTAACATACTGCATTTTTAATATGTTAAGTTTCAAGCTTTTTAAAAGTATACAGTATGAAAATCTAAGAAAGTTGATTAATCAGGGAAATTATATGCTGAACAGAATAACATCCTATAACTCGTGTACTAAAAGACAGTAACAGTGGTGCTCTTAGCATGTTTCCATGACTGATGTGGCCTAGTCCTAGTGACTTGATGTTTCTGATCACTTGCTGATGAGTACAAGGAGAACATGTGCCGCATTCTCCTGGAGGCTGTGAAGAGTAACAAACAATGCGCTGTGTAGATGTTCAGTGTCCTGTGAACTGAGCAAAGGACAATACTGTTTCAGGTAGAGGTTGGTGATGTTCTGAATTTTTCTGTTTTCTTGGTTTTTCATGAGCTGCAGGTATTTGAATAAACTGGACTGGTAGAAGGGGGAGGTCTTGACCTCTGCCTGACTACGAATGTGTTGTGAAATTCCATGTTAACTTACTTGAAATCTTACTTCAGGTGATGCCTTATATGTTGATAATTCAAATGGAAAACCAGTGAATGCTATATTGAAAATAGTTACAAGATTTTCTTACTGATGTAAGGGTACTACTTACAGTAAACTTTTTAAAGTTGAACGTCCAAATCCTGAAAGTTCAGGATTGAACTACAATGTAAGGAAAAATTTTAATTTAATGTACTGTTTCTTCAAGAGGGTTATTACCATCTAGTGTTTGGAGAAAGGGATGAGAATGATATAACTGTATCTTTCCAAGACTGAATAGGTGGACTTTTCTGGATGACCAGTTCTACTCATATTGTCACATAAAATGGTTCTGGGGCAGAGTTCTTTTAGGTATTTTTTTATTTCCTGCTGTTAGATACGAGTAATTGATTTGTAGCACTGATCTGTTCAAATACTACTACATATGAAAAAAGGAACACTTTTGGACTAAAAAGCCACTGATCTAATCTAAAACAGTGTGTAAAGAACAACAAACAAAAGTGCAGCACAACAAAGGATTGAAGTACCCTATAAGCCCATCAGTTATTGGTGAGAGCTACAGTATCTTTAAATCTGTTTGTAAACTTATTGGATTACAATTTGGAGCTGATCAGGTTTTCTGTCTTCACTGTCTTATTGGAAGGATATTCTTGAAGGCTCCATTCTTTGACATAAAACTAATTTTCAGCCTTCACTTATTCATCCTCAGTTTTATACTCATATATGTGGTTAGAGAGCAGCTGTTTTTCCTTATGGTATCTAGTTTGTCCAATAATTCAACCTTTCCCACTCCTTCCTTGCAAGGTAAACTTTTTCTCTCTCCATCTTAAGTGACCTCTTCATATGTTTCACCTTGAATTGAGATTTTCTGGAACAGGGGTAACCTGATTTGTAGATAGTGTGCTTGGTAGTATTGCAGTAATGCAGTTACACTGCTGTGGATGATGATGCAACAAACATGGAAGTATCTTATCTATTACTACTGTATCTTGACTCAATCATTGGGATATTTACTTTATGGATCTTTTGTGGGGGCAAAGACAAAGCCTCGAGAAAGTTTGGGGAAAGGAAGGTAGAGAATGAGCTGGTTCCTGATAATTGACCCAATCCTAATAAATCAATGATACCTTGATATCGGCAAAAGTCATACTTACTAACTCTTGCTCAGTGCCCCTGATTATTAAAAAACCAACTTGGAATAAAGCTTAAATGGAAAAAGAGCAAAGCCCTATAGCATTTTAGAGGACTGGTTATCTCTCTTGGGAGGAAAACTGAACTGAAACTGTTCTGTTTGTGTGAGCGGAGGAAGGAACCTGTAGTAGGATTTGACAAACCTACTCCTTTACCAGGCAACCATAAAGAAATGGATGGATATAAATGTAGATTCTCATTTAAAATTTTTATACATTTTGGTACTGCTCATTAAATGATACATTGATCTTAAAGACTGTCTGTAGACTAAAGAAGTTAAGATCTGAGATACCAAACTAGCACAGCTGATTCTCAGTACTGTTGTTCAGTACTTCAGTTTTAGGTAGGTGAGGTCAGACTGCTGAGGGTCTTATTTGAAGCAGCAGTCATATTTCCTCTTTGACTACAAATTGGCGTTCTCCTTTGGGTGATTATTTTCTTTTTATATTCACGTTACCTGTATCAATAGGTACTTTTAAAGGAATATTTGTTCTAGCAGTATGCATAAGGGCATGGTGTTGGCCCTCTTCTCATGCACCGAATTAATTTCTCTCAAATGGTGAATGAGCTGGAGACTCAGTTCATTGAAGTTAATTGCATCATAACATAGAGCCATAAAAGAGACAGTGGTATCTTCAAAAATACCTTCTTACGGTGTCTGTTGGCTTTTCAAGAAAGATCTGTCAAGGGTAGTCCCACACAATTGCCATGAGGATGTGCACTGCCATCTTGCCTTGAGTCCTTAATTTCCTAGTATAATCAACTTTGTCTCACATCCATTTTCTGGAGGTGAATGACTTGGCCACACACATAGGCCCTCTTTTGTCCCATTGCTGTCCTCCCTCCCAAGTTTCTCTCTATTTGACTGCTTTCCCTGTAAGTGGGATTTGAGAGAGACAGTGGCATTGTGTGTGGCCCAGTATCCTCTCCTTTGTGTTAAGTGGCACTTCTGTCCACTGCGAAGTGAAAAGCCAATCTCCTGAGCTGTCATGCCCCTCAAGCTCCAGCAGCTTCTTCTGGTTGCTGAAGTATTTTGAAAAAAATCATACAAGATTTCTCAGATGCCAGATGTTGGTCTGTCTTTTATCCTTCAGTGACCTTTGACAAGGTTTGTGGGCTAAAGTGCTCTCTGTACTTTTGAACAGATTTTCTGGGTTTCATCTCATTTAGCTTCAGTTTTAATCTTCAGTTCTCTATCTGAAGTTACTCTGGTTTTTTATGCTGTTTCTGGTAAACTTTTGTCAACAGTTAACCAAGAACATTCTTCTGCAAAGTGCTGGGCTCTTTGATGAAACTTCAGTCCGTTTCTTTTCCTTACAACAGGAAAACCTTCCCTACCCAAGGCTTCATATGTCTGTCTCTCTCTGTTGATCAAAGTGCAGCAGGCTGTTACTGCAGCTGGCATGGAGACTCTGGATCTACTGCCTGAATTTTGCACTCGAAATAAATCCAAGGTCTTGCCTGAGGTGTTTAATGACTTAATTCAAGGAAATCAGTGTAGCCTTTTCCTAAATCTTTCACTTATAAGAAACGACTGCATATGACTAAGATGCTAGGTGCGATTTTTCTAATACAGGGCAGAACAAAAGCTTTTTCAGTACCCCTCAGTGTTTTCACATTTACAATGGAAGTTTCAAAGGGAGATACCTATCTGCTCAGAAGCTATTGCTCCTTTATAAAGGAGTACGATAACTTTGCAACTAGAAAGCCTCTGCTTTCTGTAAGGAGCTGCTCAATTATAGAATCATAGAATCATTATGGTTGGAAGAGACCTCAAAGATTATCAAGTCCAATCACATGCCTGATGCCACCATGCCCGCTAAACCCACTAAACCATGTCTCGAAGCGCCACATCTAAACGTTTTTTGAACACCTCCAGGGATGGTGACTCCACCACCTCCCTGGGGAGCCTGTTCCAATGCCTAACAACTCTAACAGTGAAGAAGTTCTTTCTAATGTCCAACCTGAACCTCCCCTGGCACAACTTGAGACCGTTTCCTCTTGTCCAATTGCTAGTTACTGGGGAGAAGAGGCCATCCCCCACCTTGCTACAACCTCCTTCCAGGTAGTTGTAGAGGGCGATAAGGTCTCCCCTCAGCCTCCTTTTCTCCAGACTAAACAACCCCAGAATTAGATAGAACTCATAGCAAAAAATGGTGTCTCCTGTACACGGTATTTTAGAAACTTATGTTTTCAGGGCTGCCATTTCGAGGTTTGTTTGCACCTTTGTTCTCATCTCAAATGAGACAGCCAAAAGTGATGCTGTATTTAGCAGAGCAGTACCAGGCTCAGGAGCTTTAGGTTAGGGACTCTGAAGAGCTTTTCCCCGATGACAGATATTAAAGAGGTATTTTCTAGAATCCACCTGGATTGTGAGTGAGTGTTAAAACAGTTACCAGTCTTCCTTCTCTGCCTACTCACCTGCAGCTGTTTTCAGACATGTATTTGCAATCCTCCTTTGTATTTCTGTCCATCAGAATCTGCTTATCCAGGTTGTTAGGAGTTCAGGCCCATCATAGAGGAGAAGTAAAATGTACTATTCCTTTCACTACTGAGTCTCTTAAGTCCACACAGAGGCTGCCTATGGACATGTCCATTACAAATGATATTAAGATATAAACCCTGTCTACTACCTGAGTATGTATGTAGACTGCTCACTGCCCAGAACTCCCTTGGTTTATTTTTTTTCATTTGTATGGGGTTTTTTAAACACGCATTTTATCAGAAACATCTAAAAGCACAGTGCACAGTACTTACCAGCTTGGTATCTGTACTGTCTGCAGAACATGCAGTAGGTTGCTTACTATGTTAACTTTTGTGAACATGGTAGTTCATTCAAAAGTCCACAAAGCCCTAAATTTGGAATTTGGTTGTCTTTAAGACTCTCTCTGGAACTGGTCTAGTTTAGCTATAGGACTCCCTCACTTTCCCTGGTGATGGGGATTTAAAATGCAGAGCTAAGGAGAACTGTTTGACAATGTGGTTCACAAATTTCAGGATCTAGGTTTTCTGCAAAACTTATTTTCTTTTAGAACTCCTGTAGTAAGAATACCAGCCACACAATAGTATGGTCTTGTCAAGTGGTCTGATGACGCAAAAGATGGGACCAAGTAAGTTACCGTCCATATAGATAATGAAATCATTTGATATTTCTTTGAGGTTGGTGTCTTTGAATCAAGGGACGTTTGATCAAGAGGTTTCTGAGATTCTGATTTATGGCAGTACTTATTAAGAGTAGTACAGACCCTGCCAACATTGTGCACCTGGGGCTGAAAATTGACCCCCGTCATTTGATATTTATCAGAGTGAGCGAACAGCTTCCGGCTGCCCCTGGGGGAAGTTAATGTTGAAAATCTTGTTAAAGAAGAGTTGAGGCTGTCTGAGACCAGATCATTTGGCAGGGAATGAATGTGGAAAAAATAGCTCATGCTTGTGTGCTGTAGCTCTAGAAACTGGTATGTGTATGGGCGATGAAGGCTTGCCCACAGCCCTTGACAGTCTGGAATAGTTGATTGCTATGCCTTGTTTCTGTTGCTTCTGTGAGGTTTTTCTTTTAACCTTTGAGGTGTAGATTGCTAGTTTGAAGAGTTATTTTACAGTGATCTCCATTTTCTGACTCAAGAAGAATGCAATTATGAAAGTTTATTCTTTTTGAGCGCATTGCTGTTTGGGTACTGTTCTCCTGTGTAGCATCCAGTCTCTGAGACACTGAAAGATAAGAACTTCCAGTATAGAAAATGTGGAAATTCAACAACAAAAACTATGTTCATTATATGCAGAGGAACAACAGCAGTGTAGGTGGGATGATCCTGTGGACCGATGCCACCCAGCTGGCTAGCACCATTGGCAGCTGAACTGGTTTGTGTGTTTGGTAATCATAGTTATTAGTCCTCTGTAGTAGATCATGTGTCAGTAGGGAATGTAAACTGCCTCAGTAATCTATATAAAAATGTTGGTCGTTTAATGGTTCCTGGAACAAATGTCCAGTAACTTCTTGTTATAAATGCTTTTAAAGTTATTCAATGGTAATATTGCTAAGAAGGTCTAGGGCTTGCTGTTTAAAAACACTGACTTTACCTATACAGTGCATTTTTTAGAATATCAGAGTCGGAAAAGTGTCTACACAGTTTGAGAGACAGAGGACTTGCTTCCCATACAAGCCTCCTTTGAAAACATTATTAATGATGCATTTTTGACTCCTAGTCAATTTTAAAATATTTTTCCTTTGTGTATGTGTGCATATTGGTACTGTATTTCCACGCTGCATTGAGAAATAGAATACTGCAAGGTAGGAAATAATTGGTTTCCTTACTAGAGACATAAATGCCTTATCGTTCCTTAAATGGCATAAATATGGGAAGAGAAGAATATGTAATAACAGTAAATGGCAATAAAGTTTTAATTTTATTTCCTATTTTAGAGATTGTACTTATGATTGCTGTCCTCAGTTTGCAGATAATAGGGAAATAATAGGAAATCTTCCACTTTCTTTTTATGTAAATCTGTGTTATGTCAAGGTGGGGGTGGATTTGGAAATAGAATTTCTCCTTAAGAGTCTTTGGCTTTTCCTGTCAAAGCAAGTTCATTTTATGCATGTAACTTTCTGTTCATCCGAAACACAATTCCTTTATCAGTTACATCAGTAATAATATTTACTTGGAAACAGAGATTTAGACCTGATTTAGGATTCAGAAAGTGATGGCCTGCCTTTTATTTCTGTCATGTTCCTCATGAATATTCTTCAGGTATAATCTCTAGCTAAAACAGTTTTAGGAAAGGCACAGGCACTTTTTTTTTGCAGGAACTCCATAAAGAACCCTTTTATGCCTTGTAGGTTTGCTTCCATAGCGCTGAGAATACCAGCCTTGAGAAAGTACCTGACTTTTCTAAGCAAGTAGCATATGTAGAACTTTATAAATGATGTAGCCAGTGCTGATGTGGAACAGTCCACAGCTCTGAAATAATAAATTGTTGCATTACTTGATGGCTGAGTTTTAGTTACGTGGTGAAAGGATACAAAATTTAAAAAAATAAAGAGTATGTGACAGTATTAGGTGCTATGTATGTTCCTGAACATGATGCAGAAAGCTTTAGGAACCTTAAAGACAATCGCATGAAAAGTACTGTAAGTCAATGAACATGAATTTGTTATGAAAAATCTGTTCCTATAAAATATGCATCATTATAGCTGCCACTGACTTGTTAAAAGCATTTGTAAGTTCTTTTTGTGAAAGGAGAAGATTTAGTGCATGAACAGAATGTACAGAACTGCTATACTGTGCTGTAGTTGTTTAGGTTTTTTTAAAACAAACCCATTTTCCACTAATTGGAACATAGCTCAAAGTCTGCATTCCATTTTTTTGTGCTTTAGCTGTCAAGTTTTCTGAGGAAAACAAAAATCACTGTATTTATGTACAGTAGTGATTTTTTTTAAAGTATCACTTGATTTAAATGAAAAGTATGTAGTGACATGGAAATATACTGTAGTATTAAAATGCATTTTTTTTTCCCATTGAAAAGTAAATATTGTGATATGGTTTGGTAATCGTTGTGAAAAATCTGTTGCCAAAACTCCAGTGTGGCTAAAAAGCAAATTTTGAATTTGACAGTACTCTGTCCAGATCTGTTACCAGTGCATAGAAGCTACATACTGTGCCGGGGCAGCCAGAAAGAATTAAGTAGTGGGATCTGTAGTCTTTGAATCCTAGCAGGGAGCAGAAGGATGAAGGTGCAGTGTACATGTGTTACACCTGTTCTAACAAATGGTTTTAGGAGTCGTGTCTTGAACAACTCCTAATTATTAGGGAATTCTCAAATGTAAATGCTTTTGTTGATCATTTGGTTTTGGCAAAAGCAGTGTCTCATCGCTGTAGACCTCCTGAAGCTAACTTGAGGAAGCTTTCTTATGTCTGCATTGTGGAAGGGGACAGGCTACCTCTTGCACTCAGATTCTGAATTTTGCTGAAACCACTTGCGAATCCAGAGTGGCAATTTCCAAAAGTTCTGCACAGTCCCAGACGAGAGCATGCAACTCAATGGGGGCTGGTATGTCTGAATAACACACTTACTTTATCAGCTAGTGCTTTTAAACTACCTAAGCTCTTAATAGTGGATTTTAATGTTTGCTGAAACACGTTCTAGAAAGCTGGAAGAACTCTAATAATCGTGACAAAGCTTTAAAGAATAAGAAGTAATCTGGCGAATCAGATACAATACCAGATCTTATATGCCAGGCATTAAGGTACTATAGGTGGTTCCCTGTCTGGCTCAGTACCTCTTCTGTTAGGTCATTGATCAGAGTAAGACAATGTTGATGTGATACATACTCCATGTATGGAATTTACTGCACACAGGTTTACTAGGAATCTAGAATAATACAGAATCAATCCAGTGCAGATTGGGTGGTTTGAAAGCTGGCTATTGAACAAATCTATCATATAAAAATGTGATCCAAACGCTCTACTAGTGGTTTGAAAAGAAAAAACAGAAAAGGAGAATATACAGGTCTCTTCTGCAATCTCTGTCAGATCTATTCAGTTAAAAAAGCTTTGGACTTAGTGTAAATCCTCAAAGGTCAGGCATCACATCAGATACAGCAAGCAAGTAAGAGCAAAGAGAGTCCAGCAGCTTTAATAATGTTGAATCTGTGAAGCATCCCCACTGTCCGTGTTTAAGCCTCAAAAATTTGAAGCACCTACACCAGGAAAAAGATTTTCAATTCTACAACATGCTTTGTTATGGGAGATAGTGGTGAACGGTCGCTTAAAATTGATGTACCTAACTTGGAAATACAGTGCACCCTCTGAATTATTTATTGGAACAACTCCTCTAGAGTTGTAGAATATTTTCCATCAATTGAAATCGTTAAGGTGGTAAATTTTTGTAGTAAGTGTGGTGTTGTTCAGGTAGAACATAGTACTTCATGCACAGGATTCATGGCTGGTTATGCAAGAGGTTAGACTAAATCCTTTTAACACTCCTTTCTAGTTTTAATCAATGAACCTGTAAATAAGGCAACTACCCTTGCTATACAGTTGAAATTTTTTGCACTAGCTTGTTTATTCCTCTCAGTAAATTGATGCCTATTACCTTGAAGAGTAGGAGGTAGATTAATGCTACCTTGGTTTCCTGATGTGTGCTGTTGGCTGAGCACATACTGGCATCACTACCAGCACCTGTGCAATTAAAGATGGTTTGGTTCAGTGCCAAAGAAAGGTAACATCCCTCCCTGTTCAGATCTGTTAATCAGAATGGCCTGGAGTATGCTGGAGATGCTAGAATGCTCCACATCAAAGCATTGAAAAAAAAGAGGTAGACAGCTTGACAGTTTGGAAGAAGTGTAACATTAAAATCTTGTATTTTTCACTGGTACTCTGACACAGTGACTTTAAGAAACTGAAATTCTTAATTGACTTCAGTCAAGTTAAAGATGACTTTAAAACCAGATAAATCTCCAGACTGTCCTCATGAGATTCAGAGATACACAGTGTCTGTTTCTGAAAACAGTTTTTTTGAGACACAATTAAACTGAAAAATTTGCTTACTGACTTAGTGTGAGGAAATTGGGGAATGTGTAGATGTGATACAGTATTTTTAAAACTATGATATTTATAACGTATCATTTGAACTGTTACATTTTGGTTTTTAGAAGAGGTCAGTCCTTACAATACTTCATTTCAGTTCCTCCAGCTCTTTTTCCTTATTGCCATAATGATTTTTTTTTTTCTTTTCCCTTCCCCTCTTTGAAGCTTATTCTCAGCCAGTGGATAACCATATCACTTCATCTGCCTATTTGGGACAGTCCCTGCCCCCAGCATCACCAGGACGATATTCACCAATTCCCAAGGGAATGCTTGGAGATGATGAGATTACCAGGTAATGAATAACCAAAGCTACATGTCAAATTAGTTAACCAGGGAAGGTCATAAGATGTGTGTGTGTGCAACATACTAGTGAGTACTGTTTTTATTTCAAGAAATAAATGTTAGTTTCTTAACACTTGTGAAAATCGTTGTAAGGAGAAAACTGGTTATATTTATATGTGTGTATATGTATATACACACATGATTTATCAGTCCAGGAATAGTATTAAAATCAGAATGCCCTGCCAAAGTGCTCCGTGAGTTGAGTGAGCTTTTTAGGATGGTATCATGAGCAGACTAGAGATTATTTCTTATTTTAAATCCAACAATGTTTGTTTGTTTTCACAGACAAGGTTTTTTTTGATGGATTCGTAAATCCAGAAAGGCTAGAGCGCTCTTAATCCTTTACCATTAACAGACCATTCATTCCTTGACTGATACAGTAGATTGCATTAATCTTTTGTTCATCATCGCTGATAAAGGGAAGCTCTTCTAATTTTGTTACCCTTCTGTTCTGCGAGCGTAGGGATGTTATACTGCATTTTCTGTTTGTTGCTGAATTCTCTATCACACCATTATTTGATACGGACAATGTCACTCAGTTTCTGAGGCAGGGCCTACCCAGGATTGAAACCTAAGTGGTATAAGAAGTTGGAGAATGAATTTTAGTGTATTGGAAGGTAGGATATGCCTTCATAGTTATTTTTAACTTAGGGTTATGTGGACATATAAGTCAAAGTGATTCTGTCCTCCTGATGGCACTGCTGAACTTACAGTTTTATAGCTTTTTTTCCTTTAAAGTTACTGTAAAAGGAAGGTTTTTAAGATTTCTTCTGAAAAGCAAGGACTATTCAGAGAAGGCTTTAGGTGATTTTCTTTAAATTACCTTCTCATCTTCCACTCGATCCATCCCAAGAAGAGGTTTAGAAATTTTGAGTAATATTCTAAAAGATACTGCATATTTATGTTTTCTAACTGCAGCATTTTTGTTACTGTATTTGTGTGATCAAGAGCAATATACAGAAGTTTTCACGATGTAATTTGTTTGTAGTAAAATAGTACTCTGAAAAAATGAATATAATAGTTGATAGGCGGTAAAATTTAAGAATTTGACACTAAGTTAAGAGCTAGTGCAAAAATGGAATAATTTTTAAAAATGGGACTAGGTGATATTTTTCATTTGTTTTGGAAAAATGCAGCTTCTTAGTTTGTCCTATAAATTAATGATTACTGTCTCCGAATACTTAAGAATGTCCATTAATTGTTCTTTAGTGCTCTCTAGTGATTTTTCAAATGCAGTGCACAGTTGCTCTGCTTTATTAGAAATGTCTGTTTCTGAAATCATTTATGGTTTACTTGTATTGGGTCAAGTAGCAGATTAGTAGATTTTTGGAAGGAGTATTTCTGCATTAGAAGTTGACTGGCCTTATCTTAACTTGATCAGTGTTTCTTCTTTCCTCTCCTCGACCAAGTCAGGAGGGGGATCCTGTCAAAAGAGTGCAACAACTTAGTTTAGATTTAACTTTTTCAATTGCAGTTGCTGCAAATAAATTGCAAATGTGTTTGAGAATGCCAGAAATTCTGATACTATGTTTTTTAAAAAGGCTTATGCATACTTCTTGCATTGTTCTTTGCTATATTTATTGCTTGACCAACTGGAGTGAAATGAAAGCAGTAAGGACATATTTTTCATTATTGGTGTTTCCATTAGAATTTGGTCTTTATGTTTCAGAGAGGTAAAACAGTATTTTGTTGCTTGCTGTTACCATTAGATAGAATAAGACTGTGAGCTATACTGAGGCTTTTGCACTATATGGAAAGTGTGAAGTAATGACATTTAGTGATTAATAGGATTGTAGCATAATAGGAAATTAGAATACATACATACTTATGGATTATTCAGTTCACCTAACAACAGGAAGGGGATTTTTATGTTGCATCTAGAAGCAGAATTGAAACCGTGTAAATAATACAAGCTATTATTTGAAAGTCTAAGCTTTCGGGGGGCA